ACGCTCGAGTGGACTGGTTTTCACGCTCGAGCGGAAGTGCTTTATTCTTGTGTCTTGGCGCTCGAGCAGGCCTTATTGCGCTCGAGCGGGTTCAGATTTTTGTTCTTGGCGCTCGAGCGTTGTGTTCTCCGCTCGAGCGGGTCATACGTATATGAGTTATCCGCTGGGTGATTTCAAATCACTTTTTGCTTTTCTTTCTCTCTCCTACTTTTTCCAAAACCACTCTTGAGAGCCTCTCTCTCTAGAAACTCCCTTCTCTCTAGGGTTTGATCTAGTTAGAGTGACCTCCTTCTCTTCGGCCTTTGTAAAAGTCGTGTTGATCGTCGAGGGCGTCGTTTTGATCTGAAAATCTTGGTTTTTGGAGCACTTTAGTTTTGGTCTCTTCTCCATCTGAGCTCTAATTTCGAGGTAGGGATAACCTACTCCTTACTATGGACTTTGTCTTTAAATTTTAGTATTTTGAGATGTTGGAGTTGGTTTGGTAATTTTGTGATAGTTGGGGGCTTTTGTGTAAATTTACAAAAGTTGGGGTTTTAGCTATATAAAACCTAAATGCATGTTTGGCATGGAAAAGTGAAATTAATGTTGAAACATTAATGAAAATGGAACCTAAGGGTTGTAACACCTGTGAACTTCCATCTCTCTTAGTTTAGCTTGAAGTTCCCCAGGCCAAATCTCCATCAGATTCTCCATTTGAGAGATGTACAAATATTCAATGGTAGTCAATTTAACCTACGAGTCCATTCACGAGGTTACAAACTTAGTAAGCACGACATACTTCATTCCATTAAACATCATCCATTAATTTAATTTTCAAATTAATATACTTCATATTTGAATAATTAAATGTAAAACAATTCTTACAAATCTATTGCAATACATTTTTAGATCCTCGAGCTAAAAGCCCAACCTATTTTGTTAGATTCTTGAATTCACCAAATATAAATACACATTAAGGCCAAGTTTGGGATGTTCCAAAAAAGCCAAAAAGTTAAAAAGTTACTCAAAAAGTTAAAAAGTTAACACTATTCACCAAAAGTCAACAATTACGGCTGCACAACTCCCAATTCAAATTTTTCCCTAAAAATCAATTTTTAGGGAAAAATTTGAATTGGGAGTTGTGCAGTCGTAATTGTTGACTTTTGGTGAATAGTGTTAACTTTTTAACTTTTTGAGTAACTTTTTAACTTTTTGGCTTTTTTGGAACATCCCAAACTTGGCCTTAATGTGTATTTATATTTGGTGAATTCAAGAATCTAACAAAATAGGTTGGGCTTTTAGCTCGAGGATCTAAAAATGTATTGCAATAGATTTGTAAGAATTGTTTTACATTTAATTATTCAAATATGAAGTATATTAATTTGAAAATTAAATTAATGGATGATGTTTAATGGAATGAAGTATGTCGTGCTTACTAAGTTTGTAACCTCGTGAATGGACTCGTAGGTTAAATTGACTACCATTGAATATTTGTACATCTCTCAAATGGAGAATCTGATGGAGATTTGGCCTGGGGAACTTCAAGCTAAACTAAGAGAGATGGAAGTTCACAGGTGTCACTACTAGAAATATGACTTTTTGCGTCTAATTTTTTGCAACTGATTGTTTAACCGTCGCAAAAAATCACTTTTTACATTAAAAAAAAATTACAAAATCACTTAACCCAAACGTCTTCTTAACCTATCTCCTCCTTTCACTCTTATTTCCCAAATTTGTCTCCAACGGTGGTGACCTCTCTCAAAATCTCTCTCTCGCTCGACTCTCTCTCGCTTGAATCTCACTGTCCAAATCTCTCTCGCTCGACTAAATTTGAATCTCGATTGAGTCTCACTCTCACGTGATGAAGATTTGAATCTCGCTTGAATCTCACTCTCACTTGATGAAGATTTTGATCAAACGTGATGAAGATTTGAATCTCGCTTGAATCTCACTCTCACGTGATGAAGATTTTGATCAGCTGTTGCTGAAGATTTTGATCGATTCATAATCGAGATTCATAATCGGTAAGCTACTTTCTATGTATGAATCCAACTCTCTGTCTCTCTCGGTAATCTAGCGTGTTTGTTTCATGCCTAGTTGCTGAATTTCTGTGTTGATTTATTCTGAATTTCTGTGTTGATTTCAATCGTTCTTTAATCTGTGTTGTTGATTTATTAGGTGATTCATCTTGTTCTTCCTAATTTAAAGTTATATAGATAGATAGAGACATGATTTCAGTGATTGATCTTGTTTTTGCTAATTTGTTGGCTTATTTCTGGTGTTTTACCAGATTCTATGAATGAATATTAATCAAAAATTGATGAATGAATATTCTTAAATAACCATGACAGTTAGTGAACTCCAGTTCAAATTTCCTCTCAAAATCTTCCCCAAAACACATCAGCACAATCTCCATAATTCTTTGTGATAACTTTGGGGGCTTTATTACTTTAAGAGAGGTCAATGGTCTGCTTTTTTATAAAACTTGTCTATATATGTGGTGTGGGACTGAAAACAGATTTTGGGGCTTTATTACTTTGAGAGAGGTCAATGTCCTGCTTTTTTATTTAAAGGAGAAATTGAAGTAGAGAAGAGATTAATGATTATGCACTCATCAATATGTCTGTATAGACACAGTTTTTCTCTTTGAAGAAGAAGAAACACTAGGGACTTTTTTACAGGTTCTGCTTTTCTCTAGTGTGCTTTATGATTGCTCTTTTCTTTGTTTAGATCATCTTCGTTGGTCCAGAGCGGTGCTGGTACAGGAAAATATAGGTAGAGAGGAGACAGTGATGTTAGGGTGCGGTGTTAGACGTCTCAAAATATCCTATTAACTGTGTTTATGTAAAAATATATTTTGAGTTTTTTTTTATTAATATTTTTATAATATATATATACTAGCGTATGCCCGTGCCTGAAGACACGGTGTTAATAATGTTGGGATTAAAATATAATTGTAATCCCAACACTATTTAGTAAATTATCAATTTAATATAATTGTAATTCCAACCCTTCCATCTTATTATATAGATTATCAATTTAATATAAAAACAACACTATTCTTGGAAAAGGAAAGCAGACCTAAGCGATTTTTTTAGCAGAGAGCTTTGTCTATTTTTTTCCTCTACATCTCTCTCTTCCTATTTGAACTCCATTGTTGCTCAAGTTTGAGCTTTGAATGAGAGTCATAACTTACTTAATCAAAATCACAAATCCAAACCCAAATACACTACCAGTTCAAATATAGATCCGATTATATCTCGGGTGGATTACAAAGTTCTTGGTGCTTGGATGGGTTTAATAAACAAATGAGCCGTGAGAGAGAGAATGAGATGAGTTTAATTAATTGTGGAGGAGGTGTTGTAATTAATTATGGAGAATGGAATTCAAATAAAATGTATTAGATTAATTCAAAAATTTGTGAGTTTGGGAGAATGGAATTCTAATAATAACAGTATGGAGCCCAATCTAAATGACCCATAAACAATCTAAAATAACCCTAAAAATGTACATAACCTTGAAGCCCCTTAAGGTCATGAAGGAGATGGACAAAAAATTCAACACAACAGTCTAGTGACAGCAAGTTGCACAACTATAAACCAAATAACAAAAATTTCAAGTTAATATTTCTATCACGACAAATAGGCAATTTCATTAATACAAATACCAGAATGAGACTTTAAAAACTAATTTTGATAGTAAATTCCAGTATTCACACTTCCTTTGTTTCAGTCTGGTTAGAAATTTTCCCATTTATTTGCCTCTTTATTGTCTCAAGTTGTGTACAACATAACAAAAACAGAAATTCTAAAAATTACAAAACCCACTACCAATTTTTAAAAGTTCAAAAGCTCACTATAACTATAAACTGAACTAACTACACAAAAATCACCTAACTGAACATCTATAAATCTAAAAACAATGAATCAAATGTAAAAGTTAAAAAACAAACTCATCAATAATGAAAATTTAGTGTTTGATTTTTCTTTGGATTTGAATATAGAAATTAGACTTTTCTCAAGTGTACAAAGGTTTTAGAGTTCCAAATAGGAGACATGTTGCACATGATAATACATCTGTCAGCAAATGATCCTTCTAACTGAATCTTTTTATCAAGCATTTCATATGCAACCAGTTGTGGCTAATACAAAACACATGGAAGGCCAACTGAGAAAAAAAAAAAAACTTGGAGTTGGAACACATACTTGAGTCCCAGTGGCACAAGTCTGTCTGATAAACCATCATCAGGAAAAGTGTTTTGCACCTAGGCTCAGTTTCTCCCTGTATTCCAGTCAATCAATTTCCTATCAACGCTGTAATTTTGATTTCGAACAAAATTCTTTATTCAGTTATCTAAAAAATAAAAAAGAGCTAGGAAACAAAAGATAGAAAATGGAGGGGAAAAGGAAAAACAAAGAATAATCGGTAGCTGACCATTGTTAAGAATTGATTGCTAGGTATACTTAGATTGATCTCAACCATTGATACATTTTGATACACTTTTCAAAAACCCTCCTACCTACTTAAGAAATTCCCCATTTCTCCCATTTGTTCATGCATTCTTCACATCCAAAATTATGTCTCAGATAATTGCATATCCAAAATAAATAAATAAAAAAACAATTATATTTGAAAACACATTTAAACAATACACACATGATTGCTCCCCAATATTATTCAGCATCAAACAAACACATCAAATTGGAAAGCGCTAACATATAAAATTCTATATAAACAACAAACCTCATTTACATATAACTATACGGTTCACAAAAAAAGTAGTAGTTAAAGATTGTTACGTAGTTGTGTGAAGAGCTAATTCATCAAACACATCACCGAACAAACCTATATAACAAAAAGGTATATTTTTTGACACATACATGCACACACACGCATATACTTATTTATGTAAATCAACAAAAATACCTGTGAGAGAGAGAGAGAGAGAGAGAGAGAGAGAGAGAGAGAGAGATAGGTCCCCAAAGGCTCAAATGTCAAAGAAATGAAGGCCCTTTCCACAATTACCAGAAAATGGTTCGATGATCAAAGACTCTGTTCTTGTTAGGGTTTGCAGGAACAGTCCTCTGATTGAGCAACCCACAAAACCAAAAGAAAGAAATACAATTACAAATAATTATCAAAACCACTAAAAAAGTAAAAGAGTAGATAGAACGAACATTTAACTTGGATCAATTTCAATAGCCAATTCAATCAGTGGACCAATTGAAGCCCCTTCAAAGAGTGCAGCTGCCATCAAGAGTGAAACCCTCAAAATTAAAATCATGTATGCAAAACAAATAAATGACAGCAAATAGTGCAAAAAAACACAAAAGAAAGAGATGCCTACCTCTTCATATGGAGGGGTTAAGAGCAGCCAAACAATGCTTCCCGGCCTCCAATATTCCAGAGAATATGCAGATAAGCTCCCGCAGCCAAAGCAATTAGAGCATAACATAGTGAGAGATAAATCTGTAAATCAACAACTTATGTAAGTAAATATATAAATAAAAAGAATATTGAAATTAGAGGAATAAAGATGATCACTTTTATTCTAGGTGAAAAAGAAGGACACGGACACTTAGCCTAGAAAGGCATTTTTTTTCTTTTTTTAAATTTTCAATTTCACATCCTCATCTGTTTTTCTTCGTTTCCAGTGAATGGAAAGCTATATAGATCAGAGTAATATATTTTTATCTAAAACAACCACCTGCCTAAGAGCCCGAATTCAAAAATCAGCCCACATCCTAAAAAACCATAGATTACTTACTAAGATAGATAAAAAACACCTTAAATGGCTAAACACCAACAAACCACCTCCTTGAGTTTGCTTGAAAGATTTATGTTTGTTTCGTTTGTAATTTTCAGGGATTTTTTTTCATTGACCATCTTCAAATTATGATGTTTTTTATTCATTTCATGTGACTTAAAAGAGTCTTTAATTCTGTGTGCGCATTCAAACATATCAAAATAAGAGTCAAGCACATTAAACATGCTTTTGTAAGGGATGATACTACCACAACATCTCTCCAGTGTAACCCATCCAATATAGATCTACATCATTTCATAGCGAGGAAAGACATTTGATTTGGAATTTGATGATGTTGATTTGATTGTACAATGTGTTTTGAGAATTAGTATTTGATGGTGGGGTAAGGCTGTGAAGACGAAAATTAAGCCACCATAGTAGGGTAAACTAAAAAGATGGGGAAGATGCGATAAAAGAGCATATTATACTAATAGAATAATGTTGGAAGGTAACAAATTCCTTAATGGTGACAGATTTTGAAGCCATGATACCTCAATAAGATTAAGATTAATAAAAAAAAGTTTAGCATATTAACTGAATAAGAAAGGAATGCATATGGACCTGTAAAATCTGTGCATTTGTGTGCACCATAGAAGGTAATGCTTGGAACTGAAAAGCAAACAATATTAAAAAAATGAATAAGAAATAAATTCAATTTCAATAGAAAGTATGTATAAATCAAGATGGTCTAATTTGATTTCATCTCGTAGTAAGTACATGGTTGATGGTTGGGAAGATCTGATCTCATTAAAAACTTTACTGGGGCAAAAAACTATTTAACTATAAGCAGATCCAGTTATTCAAATGCAAAGCTTTAAGATCAGACCAAACTCCTATAATTACAATCTTCTTAAAGCAAGAAATGACAGCAAATAATATAATAGGAACCAAACCTGTTGGTTGTTTCTTAGAAAATCTAGGGAGCCAACTCCACTAACACCAGAATGTGAAATTGTTTCCTGGAGATATTTCAGTTTAAAAAATATGGGAAACATATAAAAGGTAAAGATACACTTGAAACTCTCTACCTAATATCTAAACTAATGTTAGACCTGAGGAAACAAATTCAAGGGAGATGAATAAGGTGCTCTAGAGACAGGTGCAGCTGCCGCTGCGCCTGTTTCAGCCCTCTCAAAAGTTGCCTGATTCATAGGCATTGCAACTTCTGGAATACCTTGAAAAATAGAACAATATTACAGAATTTGGCAAATGTGGATGTCATATAAAAAAGTTGAAAAAAGAAAAAGAAAAGAACATACGGAATATAAATAATCCACTGATCGCCAGGTCCATACGCATTCCTTTTTAGATTAAGATTAAGATCAATAACAAATTCATACCTTCAAATAAGATTAATAAAATCCATTTTATTTTAAAACGAAACTCTATAAGAGGCCATCATAAATAATTTTTAAAATCTCAAAAAAATCTGTACTAAAAACCAAAAAACCATTATTCAACCACTATTCAGAGCAGTTCTATCTACAGCAACAAACCACTATTCAACAAACCATTATTCAACAAACCACTACTCAACTGATTTGATAAAATAGTTCTATCTTATTTTATGTTCTATCTACAACATAAAATTTGAACAAAAATAAAAATTACAAATAACAGAAATTAGAGAGATCGGAGAGACCTCCATGAAAGCCTCTGCAACGCCTCGCGTCGAATTGACGCCGCACGGTAACAATCGTTGAGTTTTAATTCAAGCTAATAGGAAAGAATCTAACCATAAACCACTAATTTGACGATTTGCAGAAGGGGGTGGCCCAATCAACAATAGCGAAGGAAGATAGCGAAGGCAGAGGAGTAGCAAGGAGGCGTTGTAACTATAGTATCCAGCAGCGTATCCACCTGATAACAAAGAACATCCACACCACAGAGGAGCAATGAGTCACAAAAAAAAAATTTTGAACAATTTTCTCACAAATTTTAAACTCTACAACAACAACACATTTCAATTTTCTTTTTTTTTACCTCCATGAAAGCCTCTGCAACGCCTCGCGTCGAATTGACGCCGCACGGTAACAATCGTTGAGTTTTAATTCAAGCTAATAGGAAAGAATCTAACCATAAACCACTAATTTGACGATTTGCAGAAGGGGGTGGCCCAATCAACAATAGCGAAGGCAGATAGCGAAGGCAGAGGAGTAGCAAGGAGGTGTTGTAACTATAGTATCCAGGAGCGTATCCACCTGATAACAAAGAACATCCACACCACAGAGGAGCAATGAGTCACAAAAAAAAAAATTTGAACAATTTTCTCACAAATTTTAAACTCTACAACAACAACACATTTCAATTTTCTTTTTTTTTCCCCTTACAAAAAACCCTAAAAAAAAAATCCCAAATTCTACAACAACAACAACAACAGATTTAACTTTTATTTTTTTTGCCCCTTAAAAAAATCCTAAAAAAAAATCCCAAATTCTACAACAACAACAACAACAGATTTCAATTTGTAGTTATATATCTATAGGTTGGAGTCGTTGGTTTGGGTCAGAGACAGAATTGGGCTGGTCAGAGAGAGAGAGTCGAGAGAAAAAATATCTGTCGACAAAAGACAGAGCGTCGATAGAAAAGAGTCCGGCGGGACTGAGCGGCGAGAAACGAATCAAGCGAGAGACTCGATCGTCAGAGAGAGAGACTCGATTCGATCGTCGGATGGAGGGAGGCTCGGTCGGTGACAGCCTCGGTCAGGTCGAAGAGAAGGGTTGTAAGGGAAGGAGGAGTAGCGTAGAGAAGAGGGAGGGTGGGTATCGAAGGGTTGGGTATCGAATAAGGAGGATGGGTATCGAAGGGTTCGAAAGGTCTTCAATGGCTGTGGTGATGAGAGACAATGTGACAGATAACGTGGGAGAGAGGAAGCTGAAGAGAACGTGTTTGGGGACGTGGGAGAGAGGGAGAGATGAACTCAAACGGGTGGGAAAATGTATATAGACCGTCGATCTAAATGTATATGAACTCAAGATTCATCTTGGCCCTTAAAACCAAATGAATCTCTAATACATTTGGGACATTTTCAAAAACCTTTCTTCCATATTATATAGATATATATATTTTTGAAAAAAACAAAAAATTTTGAGTCATGGGAACATGTGAGGTGGAGTTATTCTGAACAAAAGAAGATGCTCCTTTATTTAGGTGGTGACAAATCCACTGTATAATTTATAAATGCAGAGGAGAGAGAAAGACTTCTAAGGTAAATAGAACAATTTTACAATCATGCAATGTTATACATATACCATTCATAATATTTAGCATCAACACCTCTCATTGAGGTACATTCTCATGTTCTAATACGAAACTCAACATATGCACATCAAGTAGGATAAAATCATATAACTACATAACAAATAACGGGTTGCCACTACGAAGATGGTTAGTCGTTCTAGAAATCCTTTTAGACCTCTTATTAGAAATCACGTTGATCAGGTGCATTTCCAATGAGATTTCTAAGAAAATTTCTAGAGCCCGACACAACATCCTCGAGACTCAACCCCATGCCCACATAAACATATAACATCTTAGCACATAAACATGTTATCACATAGAAACATTGCTTATAATCCTGAGGTAAACCTAACTATGGTCAAAACCACTTCCCACGAGCCAAGATATTCAAACCCGGTCCGCTCTGATACCAAGTCGTCACGCCCTAAATTTGATTACTCGGATAACATTACCAATATTCATTAATTAAGTTCATTTACAAATGACAATTCATCTTTTAATGAAATGATAAATAATTAAATATACATGTTCTCTCTTGTGATACAATAAAGACATTTACATACAAATAAAATGAATGCCCTGAGGCTTACAATAAAAGAAAGGACACTACTCTTTTCAAAAAAAAAAAATAGCACTCAGCCAAACAAATAAATGAAGTAGTACAATTCATCACTACATTACACTTATAAAATGGTAAAACCGATTGTTTGATCTTCAAATCCGAAAAGCATTCCCTGTACACATGTACAGGCAGGAGGTGAGCAACCACTAACTCACCAAACAATCTCATATTAAAACATTAGAAGATATGCGGGTACAAAGATACTCATACATATACGTGAAATCATATCATGTCAAAACCATATGATTCTATTACATAAACTCTTAAATTCAATTTATTTAATTTACCACAACTAGTTAACTTAAATAAATAAGCATGCCTCAAATGCAGCATAACATCATTTTCAATTCATTCAATTACCCATTTGTCAATTGAATCAAATAATTAAAAAATTCATACTGACATCTAACAAAGCATTAAATACATTTTATACAGTCTTATGAGATGAATGCATATGCCATGTCATGCTCAAAATATTTTTCTCATCTTTTGAAAATCTTATGCACAATGTCAATTTGAAAATACATTAATCCAACAATTTCAATAAAATTCCAAGGTGGTAAATACGACTCAAGTAATCCCTAGGTTGGTGTTTGCAAGTAGGCATATCAAGCACTACCAAATCCCCACTTTACCGGTCTCTCACCGAAAGGGCAGTGGTACCTCCTCTGTGCGTGTTTTCGATTTTTCACCCTAGACACTCAAACCAACTTAACCAACATCAAACTACACCCCCTATCCGGACTTACCAACGTATTTACCAAAACAAATCAAAATGATCATATTTCACAAAAAACAATTCCTTTCTCAAAACAATAGTTTTCAATTTCAATTCGAAACCCATGATAACAATGAAATGGAATGACAATACAATATACAATAATGTATTAGAATAGTTCCAATTTCAAATCCACCACACAATGCTTTATTGTGATCAAATTCCATATCTCTATCAATGTAATACCATAATACAATTTCAAGAGATAATACAACAATATCCATATTCATATAGTCTCCACATGTTAATCAACATTCCCAATTTAGTCATTTCAAGACAAATCTGTAACATATTATATCAAACTTCCAAAGTTCTAATATTTCTCATCCTTCCAAGAAATCCCTTATTTAAATGCAACATGGTAAATTTCCACTGATAGCCAAAATAGTTATCTCTAATATATTAATTAAAAGATAACAACATGGATATACAATCCAACATATAACCATAACTTGGAATCTCCCATGATTCCCAACATTGAGAAACAACCCATATCCCACATTTTAAAAACAACTTTTCAAGACTTATATAACTTTTCGTTAAACTCAACATTTCAAAGGAGTAACTAATATTCAATATTCCAAAAGTTTCATAAGTGTTTTCAGAATCAAGTCCTCAATTTTGAAAACCAAACAAAGTCTTTTCTCAATAATTTAACAACTCCCAAAACATTGCCATTTAGGATTTTTCACATATTGAGGTTTTCTCACTTTCAAATATCCATGTGTAATTTATATATAAAAATGCCTCAAATAACAAGATTATACGCAAACAACTCCCAATTTAATCAAACTCTCAATTTACCCTTCAAACATCTCATATATGAATTTGATATTCAAAAACAACATATTACCATACACCAAATATTAAAACTATTTATCAATTTTCTAATTGTTTTGACTCACACAAAACCTTCAATCAATTTTTGTTTCACCTGAACCAAGATAACCAATATGATTTTTTTGCCAAATCACATACTTACTAAATATTACCATTTCCATTCTATTATATCAAAAGTCATGGTATAATCTCAATAACACACTTTTAACCATAACGGATATAGCCTTTTAACCAAAACTAATTTAATCTACTAAATTAGTAAGCTTATTATATTCAAAAATTTTCAAATTTATAATATTAAACCTAACTTCACATGTCTCATCCCTCAAACATAATCATATTTCAAGCCAAGCTACTTAAAGAGTTAATATTTTTTCCAAATTCCCCACCAATAACAATTTCACAATTTTTTCTAAAATTACTTAATCAACATGATATTTACATCAAAAGTTATGAAATATGCCCAAGAGTAATATTTTCAAGGTTATGAGTTTAAAAGTCTACACTTCACATTTTTCATTTTCACAAAAATAAAAATAAAAATAAAAAATGAACCAAACTTAATCATCAACATATCACCTTCCATAAAGTTTAATGAATGTAACACTTTTAAAGTTTTTAATCCCAAAACAACTCTATAATCCCAACTTAACAATTTACACAATATTCCTCAATATCAATTTATTTTTCTTAAAAATAAATTCCAAAATCAAAGATAAAAAAAATATTTCAACTTTATATTTCTCAAAATAAATCATCTAATCATAATATGATGTAAATACAATCATACAACCTTTAAATTTTATTTTCGGATTTTTTTTTAAAATTAACAACACAAGATGATTTTCCCAAAATCAATATCAAAATGCCAACATTCTTAAAATTTCAACATAATTTTTTCTTTCAAAAATTACTTATATATATATATATATATATATATGTAATACCTCTTAAAATGACATATTTTTTCAAAATAACCCAAACATAGTTTTAATGTAAAAATATGAAGAAAGTCTCCATCTCAAATATGAAGAAAAGCAAATCTAAAAATGTAAATATTGCCCGATCATGAATCCGAGACCACCATTGCGAAGATCACGACAAGCTCTCAAACTTTTATTCATAACACTTTTACAAAATTTTATTCTAAAGACTCCCATTTAAAACTCAAATGTTGAGCCAACAATGGAGGCCAAAGAGAGAGAGAGAGAGAGAGAGAGAGAGAGAGAGAGAGAGAGCGAACTATTGAATTATTGATTTAAGTTACTGAGTAGTGTTTGCTAAATAAGTTGTGAAGTAGTTTTTTTAATTAATTTTTATTTTTTGTTATTCACCCTTTTCAAGGATTTATTTTAAAATATATATATATATATATAATATAATTTTTATGATAATATTTTAAAATTTTAGAATATAAATTATGAAATGATATAATTTTTTATCACAAAATATAATATTTTTATACATTATAAAATATAATATTTTGCTCATCACGAAATATATACCCATTTTATTCACTACAAAAATATATAATTTTTCACTATATATGGTATATACCATAAAATCAACTATCAAATAGTTATTATAATCTTATATAATAAATAATAACAACTCTCAAGATGGTTACTACCAATCACCTAGTTAAAAAGAACCAAACAGTTAAACATGAGTCATTAAACAAACTTAATTTAAATTAAATCTAAGTCATGGGTCTCACCTATAAGGTAAACATGGTCTAATTATACACCAAAATAGACCCAACAGTTTATCTTAGATCATGCTCTAAACACCAAAAACTCAATTTAAAATTCTGCTATAAATTAAACTGAACACTAATCAGTCCGCAAATTTTTATAAAATAAATTCTCATCAATTAATTTCTGAAATTTTTATCCAATATGCTAGACTCTCATAAGAACACCATAATAAAATATTTCATAATTTCTGAGATCGAAAATTATTATTTAAAAAAAAAAAAAGCTATTACAAAATTGAACCACATAACATTACATAACACTCCAATCCAAATATTACTCAATTAATTTATGCACTGACTATTTCAAAAAACATTTTGGGTTATCACAGCCACCAAAGAAGGCAAGAGTATCACACAGTCATTCTCCAACAAGCTTAACTCTGCGAGGTAATAACCCAAGAACTCCAACTTCAAATTGGGAATCTGCATAAGAACAAGAACATTAATAATTACTTGGTAATCTTCTAGAGCAACAACAGTGACTTTTTTGCAAACAAAATATTAAAAAAAATTAAAAAATTAAAAAATCAACAAGCAAGAAAGCAGCTTTAATTAGGCAATTGAATCGCAAGATCACCGATGAAAAGAAAGATTGTATGTTGACAATGCAGTAATACCCTAAAAAAATCATAATTGTGGGACCGCCCACTTCAAACTTGAGATGTTTGAATATGTCCGCCTCCATTTTTACCACCTCTTTCTTTGTGTATGCGTTGTCGGTTAGGTAACAAAATTCATCCACAGGTGGATGGTTGATTGATCTTCTCATACTTTCAGCTCATCAAGATTGAACAAGGAAATTTAAGTACCAATCATCCAATTGATTGTCTTTACAAAAACATCAAGCAGTTTAAGAGGTCAGAGAGCTTACGATGCGATCAGCATTGAAGAAAAACCGAGCAACTGGAGTTTGTTCCTGTTGAGATCATTCATTGACAAAAATCTATCAATGTAAGAGATAGATAGATGCAAAGTATCATAGTGAAGCTCGTATTCCTCCGCAACCTTCACCAACCAATCCACCAAAATTGCCCTCATGTTAGGGCTCACATCCTTCTGGGCCATTTCAACGTAATCTGGCAATGGTCTCCTCTTCTCAGCACAGATTTGATGTGGATCACTAGGGCAGATTGTGATGTGGTTAATCGAAAATGTAATTGGAAATTTTGATTTAAATTAAAATCAAATATTTTTATGAATGATTTTATTAATTAGAGATTGATTTCATCAAATTTAATTTGTGAGAAAATTTTAAAATTTTATTATAGACTTACTATTTTTTACTAGGATGAGAATCATTTTAAACTTAAATTTGGACTTAAAAATTTTCAATGAACTTGCGAGTTGATAAAGCGTTACAAAATCATTACAAATCTAATTGGTACTTCCAAAGAGAGGTTTTTTTTTTTTTTAATTTTTTTGAGAGACGATGTGAGGTGAGTTCTTAATTATTTTGAAACAATTTTGATTGTGGCAAAATTTGGATTCCATTATGCGAAGTTTGGATTGTATTGTATAATAAGTCAATCAGTTAAAAATGGGAGCGTTTGTATATCACCATTAATTAATTGGGATTGTATTGTATAATAATATCACCATTAATTAATTAAGTTTCTTTTTTTTTTTTGGAAGTGACTGCAAGTTGGAAAGGTTACAGATATTGAAATTTGTGACAGTGCTGCTCAAATTGTTGATTACACAAAAATAGATTTACGTTGCGAGAATAATGGCTTATTTAGAAATAAGTTAAAAGTGACTTTTCAATTTTTAATTCACTTTTTTTTTCATAAAAAAGTTTTAAAAAGTAAAAAAAAATAATTTTTAATTATCTTTTCAAAACATCTCAATGTTGAATGTTGCAAAATACGCAAGTCATTTTTAACATTAATTAATCAATAATATTATAAATGTACCTTTATCAATTTTGAATTTATTTTAAAAAAAAATTAATGGCTCAGATTCATTTCATATGTAGACTTTATAATTCGTCATTGAATAATGTTATTTGTACTAGTTAATATACTAACCGATGATGTGACATAATTTTAGATGTTTTGGATATTTATGATTTGTATAATATGTGAGATCAGTAATAATGACATAACATTAGTTGGTATGTTTATAATAATTGGTGTATGTAGTACCACCGTTCATCAATTCAATTTTTAATATCAAAATACATTCAGAGTAAATTTGAAATTTGTAAAGATGAATTTCTTACATTTTTCTTAATTAATTTTATGAGGGAAGTGAAACCCAATCCAATACCTGTGGTGATTCTGCTATCAATTGAAAACCTACGGTTCCATTGACTTAGGCTTAAAGTAAAGAACACTACTTTATTGGTCCAATAATTCACTGAATATACATTAAACATGGTACTAATCAAAATATTTATTGATAACTAAACGGGCTAATGACCCATTGTGTTTTCATTGGGGGCGAATCGTCTCTCCAATCTATTCACCAATTGGATCATGTTATTTGAGATTGTGAAGTCTATAACAAGTTTTATTTTAAAAATATAGTTTTGTCTATTTTTATAAATTTTGATGTATAAATTGGTCATAAAAAAATTAAATCGATATAATAATTGTAGTATAATATTTTATTGTTTTATTATATACTTAAAACTATATATGTCATCTATTTTTTTTTAAAAAAAAAATAAATATGATTTAATTACAGATAAATTTTTTGAATTAGACTGAAGTCTTCTCCTTTATTAATATGAAAAAAAAATGCTAAAATAGGGAGAGGTATTTTTATACATTTCTAAATATGTTAGATGATATTTAATTCAATGAAATGAGAATGGAATGGGATGATGGTATCACTACTAAAAAAAGTACTTTTTGCGACCGCTACAAGCTGTCGCAAATAATAAAAAAACAGTCGCAAAAGACTTTTTGCGACGGCCCATGTGACGGCAAATGATGGTCGCAAATGTGGGGGTGGCAAATACTTTTTGCGACCGCAAAATAGCAGTCGCAAACTATTTGCGACCACCTAATCTAGTTATGGCGACTATAGACGTCCCCGAACGCCCCGGGAGGGTGAGGTCCCGTTCCGTTCGTTTTGCGGGTCTACTACAGTTCAGACTCAAATTGTCACGGTTCTTAATCTGAACCAAAGAGTCCAAATCTGGCAAATCGTTTTGAGAAAACAGATTTTTAGAAAAAGAAGTGCCAAACATGGACTGCTTCCAAATATGGCAAATCGTTTTGAGAAAACAGATTTTTAGAAAAAGAAGTGCCAAACATGGACTGCTTCCAAATATGGCAAATCGTTTTGAGAAAACAGATTTTTAGAAAAAGAAGTGCCAAACATGGACTGCTTCCAAATATGGCAAATCGTTTTGAGAAAACAGATTTTTAGAAAAAGAAGTGCCAAACATGGACTGCTTCCAAATATGGCAAATCGTTTTGAGAAAACAGATTTTTAGAAAAAGAAGTGCCAAACATGGACTGCTTCCAAATATGGCAAATCGTTTTGAGAAAACAGATTTTTAGAAAAAGAAGTGCCAAACATGGACTGCTTCCAAATATGGCAAATCGTTTTGAGAAAACAGATTTTTAGAAAAAGAAGTGCCAAACATGGACTGCTTCCAAATATGGCAAATCGTTTTGAGAAAACAGATTTTTAGAAAAAGAAGTGCCAAACATGGACTGCTTCCAAATATGGCAAATCGTTTTGAGAAAACAGATTTTTAGAAAAAGAAGTGCCAAACATGGACTGCTTCCAAATATGGCAAATCGTTTTGAGAAAACAGATTTTTAGAAAAAGAAGTGCCAAACATGGACTGCTTCCAAATATGGCAAATCGTTTTGAGAAAACAGATTTTTAGAAAAAGAAGTGCCAAACATGGACTGCTTCCAAATATGGCAAATCGTTTTGAGAAAACAGATTTTTAGAAAAAGAAGTGCCAAACATGGACTGCTTCCAAATATGGCAAATCGTTTTGAGAAAACAGATTTTTAGAAAAAGAAGTGCCAAACATGGACTGCTTCCAAATATGGCAAATCGTTTTGAGAAAACAGATTTTTAGAAAAAGAAGTGCCAAACATGGACTGCTTCCAAATATGGCAAATCGTTTTGAGAAAACAGATTTTTAGAAAAAGAAGTGCCAAACATGGA